CTGCTGCCCGCCGCCCTGCCTACCGAGGAGGGTACAGAGCCGCCGGCCGCGGGGAGCGCTGGCGTCGTCAGAAGTTTCTACCCGTCCCTCGACCAAGCGCAGTCTTGCGGGGGGGGTCTGTACGTGGTGCAGTCTTCGCGTATTGCTTCCGTTCCCTTCCCGGCTCTTCTCTCCTCGTGTCACACCTAGGACAAGATATTGCCGCCGCGGTTTCACAGCCACAGTGCCGCTCCCTGCCACGCGACGTTTTCCTTGCTCGCGTGTGCCAGGTAGTTCATCAGACCTTTTATTACTGCACTGAGACCGGTGCATTTCCCGTCAGTTGTCCAGGCAATCGGGACCCCTGAAATCTGGGGTATTGATTTTGTGTGTGTTTTGTTTTCCCCTTTTTTTGCGACATTATGACATTCCAGGATACGGCCCCCGCCAGGTCCCACTGAGGCCTGCATTGCTGGGATAAGGGAGGAGAGAGAAAACCAAAGGCTTTTTTACAGAACTTACCAAGAACTTGTTCTTGGTCACGTCGTCTTACTATTGGAGAGCAGCTGGGAGGGGTTTTTTGTAAGGAATGGTATTTACATCAAAGAAATAACATGTTTTTTCATGACCATACTGAAGGATGATTCTACTTTTGCATTAAGATGCTCTGCTTTCTGCATTGTATCATTCCTCTTTAATCAGGAGTAGAAGATCGACGTGGTCTGGTTCCGAAAGACAAAAAGCCTGCAGAGACAGACGTGGGTTTGTCATGCCCTCGTTAACCCCCGCTCTGTGAGGTGCTGTGTTGGCACTGAACGCAGGGTAGCGCAGGTGCAGGTGGAAGCACACCGGTCTAAGGCCAGACAGGCCTCCGCACCCCTAACGTGCCCTTGCGCACCACCGGCGCAACCCCAGAAGGGTGTGTGAGCGCGGGCACAGCCGCATGGCGCCTCGACAGGCAGCAGGGATGGCGATGCGCGCGCCACAGAGCAGAACAGCGCAGGGTTTCCAGCTCGAGCGCTTGCCGTCCACAACGGGATGGTGGCTGCTGGAGGCTCGCTGTGTGACTGTGACTTCCCGCCGGCGGCACCATGCAGGTCCTGACACATCGTCCTGCCACAGACATGCTGCCCGCTTGCCTTCCGTCCCCGTCTCTGGCTGTGATGAACATCGGGGACCGCAGCTACTCAGAGAGCGAGCGAATACGAGCGAACGAGGCTCGGCCCCAGCCGCAGGCATTGGCAGTGACCCCGAGAAGCCTCGGTAATGGACAGCTCATAACAGCAAACCCATCTATTTGGGATAGATTTAAAAAAAAATATTTTAGGATTTTGCTGCTACTGCCATCAACTGGGCCAAAGCAATTTTCCTGTTACTCATGGAGTCACCTGGCTAATTGCTGTTACTCTGTTCTCACGCTGTCACTTCTCCTGGATGTGTTTACCGACTCTTCTGGGCAGTCAGTCACACCTATTAGAACGTCTGAGTAGTGTTCAGCGGCAGTTTAGTGAAACTTCCAGTCGAACAGTACCCCGTCCAGCACACCATTGGCTGGGACACCAAAAACAGTGGCCAGGGGAGCAACAGGGATCGCGTTTCACGCTTGGCCTTTGGGAGACTGATGCAACGCCTTAGCGCACGTGGCGTTGGATTAGTGCAGTCGGTACCTTTTTCTCTGAAGGAAGGAAAGTGATATGAAACCCACTGAAAAACCGAGCGAGACTGACATGTTCAGATGACAGCTGCTTCTGTCAGAAAGCAAAGGTGTGAGGTGGCCAAGGCAATGTGATGAAATAAGGAACACAGGTCAGGAGTTGTATTTCCTACCAGCTGTAGTAAAAGTTCAAAGGACAACATCCAGTGAAGGGAGGGGGGGGAAATCTGATAGAAGGCAAAACTTCCACTGAGGGGCAGTTAGGCTGCCTGGTAAATGATGGTATATGGCTAAGAAAAGATACTAGTAACAGGCTGGAAGTTAATATGGGTTACAATGATACAGTGGTTGTTTTTTTTTAAATGAGATTTAAAATTTCCTTTAAATTTTGAAAGAAAAACTTCTGTGGCAGTACAGACCTGCCGTATTTGCTTTTTGCGGTGTTCCTTTTCTTTTACCTGAAGCATTTGGTAGCTGGTGTAAGTTGTATGCGACAAACGGCATTTTCCTTCTTACTGATTAATTCATTTTGTCAACTGGAGCTGCACGGGGGCAGGGAGAAGCATCTGCTTTTCAAATATGCTTTCTCAAACAAGGTTGCATGTGCTCAGTGGTTGCTTTAATTAAGTTGTTTTTAAATCTGATGAATAGATTAATATAATTGAGACACATAGTTGTACTGAGGAACATTCTCACAACATTAACAATATTATGAGCAAACTTGTTCAGTTAGTTGTAAAAGCCTGGTTTCTCCATGTCCGTGATTCTGTACATGCAGGAAAATGACAGACTATATTAATCCAAAATGTTAAAATTTTGATGGAAATTACTAGAATGGTCTAGAATACGGTTAACGTAAGTGCAAGTTACCCACTTCCCTGTGAGCAGGCGAAGGGCGTGATTTTGAGCGCAGTGTAACAGTGTATTTACTGCTGACAAAACAGCTGCAAAGCGGTATTTTTCTAGTAAGAGAAAAAGTTGGTTCCAGTAACGCTTTTTGTTTAGTAAGAGTGGGGTTTTTTTATGAGAAATGAAAAAGCATTGCCTGCCTATCCTGGTCAAATGTGTACGTACTCCGCCGTTAGCTGTTACGAAGATCTGCAGTAATGATGATCGGTATGGAAGCACTAGGGTCTGTAGGTGTCTAAGCCAAGTCCTACAAAACTAGGATCCTTCTGCATTAAGCCTGTGACAATATGTATGACACATTTGCTGCCCCACTGGATTAATGAACTAATAAATGGTGAAAGAAATTATTTTCCCGTTGTTGAGATGGGAACAGAGGCAGGGGGCTTTGCTCAAGGTGTTACACGATGGCTGCAGCAGAGCTGGGGAACCGCACCGCGGTGCTCTGCGTCCCAGCTGAAGTCCCCAGCTGGGGTTTTCTGTGGCACTGACTCCTGGAGGAAAACAAGGCAATGAAACGCATGCCTCGCTGCGAGGGCATCAGAACAGTTAGAGCTGAAGAGCTGCTTCCCAGCAGTAAGCCAACGGACCCTACGCACCTGGTGATTGCTATACTTGGCAAATGTCCTGGTGTCACCCCGCATTCCCTGACACACCAGACTGAGTCCCAGGTTTGGCCTGGAGTACATCCCTTACACGTGTATGCTCCTTCAGATACCGAATGGCCAAGCAGTACACAATCAACTTCCTTGTCATCGCTGCCTTCATAAAAACCCCAGCCTTACTTATCACAGAATCACAGAATGGTAGGGGTTGGAAGGGACCTCTGTGGGTCATCTAGTCCAACCCT